AGCCTCTTGGCCATCTCTGCAGGCGGCAGCATTTGCACCTCAGTGCTTTAATTAAAGCCTAACTATTGCCTTTTCCTCCCGCGTTTTAACTCTCATAAATACACGTGTCTAGCGCAGAGCAGCAGCGGATTTGCAATCATCACCATGGCTCATACCTGACATGACAGGTCCCAGGGTCCTGCCGAGCCCCGAGCTCTCGGGGGGTGGCCGGGCTGGGGCGATGCCAGCGAGCCCACGCGTCTCCCCAGCCCCAAGTGGGCGGGTGGGTCCCTGTGCCAGGTATTTGCTTGAAATCACCTGATTTCCTTGGCACCCTGCGTGCAAATACCCCAGAATAAACAACAATTGCACAATGTGCCTCAACGGAGGATTAGTGGCGGCTTGTGCCGTCGGTCGCGCCAGAGCCGCTGTCTTGGGCTGCCCAGCCCGAGGTGGCAAATTTGGAGGTGTGGAAGTGGGCTTGGCGCCTTCCTGAGCATTGCAGCACTTTTGGGTTTTTTTTTTTTTTTTCCTCTATTTCCCTGACTTTCTTTCCATTTCTATCAGCTGAGGCAGTGATGGCTGCTGTCACCTTCAGTGAGCCTCTGAGGCCACCCATGGGACCTGCATCGCTGCCCTGTCAGCGTTATGGGGCGTTTTAGGGGGAAAATGATCGCTCAGGCAAAATCTGTTCCATCTCTGCTGCCAGCAATGGGAAAAATTGGAAAGTGAGGGAAGAGGCTTAAAACCAGGCCGGGTAGCTTGAGTTTGTGTACGCTGGCCGTGACGTTAGAGCTGCCGCCTCTCCGTAAGGCGTCCCCTTCCCGGCAGCTCGGCGGTGGGGGACCGGGAAGCCCAGCCCAGGTGCTGCAGGGCGGAGGGGCAGCCTGGGGGGGGAGAGGCATTGCTGCCAGCCCTGGGGGTACATCCCAAACTCTTGCCCGTGCTCCTCCGAAGGGCGCTCGTGCCACCTCCACCTCTCCCGCGGCTCCTTTCTCTCTCTCTGAACACTGCTTGCAAACTGCGTCTCTGTATTTAGTGTTTACTGAGATGGATGTTACACTCCTACTTGCACTTTTGCTACTCTCCTGCTTCCTAATGTTTATTTTTTTAGGTTTAAAAAAAAATGCAATATATGTAAACTTGTGCTGTTTGTTGTGTACTCTGTGCACTTGGGCATTTATTTACAATAAAGAGATTTTAAAAGGAAACAGGTCTAGTTCCCTCTGTTACCTTGCATTAGTGTTTGCTTGCTGTAACTTTGCATTGTTGTTTGCTATAACGTTCTATCGTGCGCTGGGTCTGTGGGAAGGTGGTGAATTCAGGAGGTCTGTGGGAAGCGTCCGGAGGAGGAGGGTTTGCAGGGGAGGACAGGCATCCCTGGCTTTTGGGAGTTGGGTTGGAAATGGTGAATCCTGCAGCCCGAAGCTACTGCTGCTGTTCCCCTTCTGGCATCGATTTTCAGGGTGTTTTTATTGGAGCTGTTGGAATTCGGAGTTTCAGGTTTTCCGTGGAGCTGTCGGGGTAGGAATGCTGTTTTTTAAAGCACATTTCTTTTTTTTTTTTTTTTTTTTTTTCTCCTAGAAAAAGAGGTCAGGAGGAGCAGCTGGTGAGACTTCCAGCATCTGCAGCTGGAAACCAGTTGGCCCCAAAGGGACTCGCCAGCCGCAGCCTTGATGAGCAGTGACCTTGGTTGTGGTCAAGGAAAACCCTTTTTCTCTTGTTCATCCTGTTTATCAGTGGGTTGAGGAGGTCTTAGGGGTGTCCAGCAGCCCTCAGAGCAAACGACGGCTTTTGCTGTGGCTGTGCCCTGGCTGATGCTCGTGGCCGTGAGCACCCCATGCAGGTGCTAAATAACCCCCTGCTGCTGATTTTTCAGGGCACAAATCCACTTGTTCTGAGTCATCTGGCAAAAAAAAAGAAATCTAGAAAGCCTGTGTTTGTGTTTGAGCTTAACTGGATTCCCGTAACTATTTAGTGGAGGTCAGTGCCTGCTCAGGAGTGACAAGGGGCCTGTTGTGAGCAAGCCCCTGCTCGTGGGGCAAGGACAGGCAGCCTTTTGCTGTGTTTTACAGATTAAATCTGTTTCATTGCATTTTGGTGTGGACTCAGGCGTACTTCAGAAGGGTAATATATCCCACTCAATGCAGAGACGTGGTAGATTTTTCCGGCAAAAAAAAATCTCAGAGCTGGCAGAGCAAACATTGTGCCTGTGAGAAGCACAACCTGGGGTAAAAAGGTCATTGCCAGGCTCTTGATGGTGATTCAAGCCTGTAGGAAACTGTGCAGCCAAAGTGCAAGAGGAGCAAATGGTTCCAACCTCGGCCAAAACTCTTGTTACTGGAAAAAGTCCCACCAGCAACAGCTGGATTCTGGAACAGCGTTCAATGCGATGAAGGGCAGCTGGGTTTCCCATCGTGGCCCGGGGTGTTCAGCTCTGAGCAATGCTCCCTGGGACCTTGTGGGCTGCTGAGCTCCAGCTGGTATTGCTTCAATAGGATTAGGCGGAGCTGGTTGAAGAAACCCATCTCTTGAATGTCAGCCATAGGCTTCTGAGGTCAGAAGGGATGAGCTCATGGCTGACATGGCCCAGGGTGAAGCAGTCGTCTTGCGGAGGCCCCCATAGCGTGCCGGAGGTCCCTAGGCATTGCCATGGCTGTAGGCTGGAACAGGCAGTGTCCTGCTCAGCGAGGATCGTATCAGCAAAGAGTTGGCAGACCCACACAGAAAACAAACAATTTCAACATCTGCTTGGGTTGCATTTGGTATTCTAGTGTTTCGCTTTGTGGGTTGAATAAACTACTTCCTTCTTGCTCAGAGGAGGAGTTAATGATTTATGGGTCAACTGGCACAACTCTGGTCTTTGCAGAATTCAAACTTTTCTGCATGGAGCCATAGCTGAGCATGTAGGCGTATCTAACTCCTCCTTCAGTGCTGCGGTTCCTGGAGCCGGGGGGACTGGGCAAGGACAGCCATCGCTGTGTCCTGCAAGAGCCAAAGGCGCCGGGGCTCTCCATCTCCTGCTGCCAGATCGACAGGTAAGATGACTCGAGCCATACAGCTTTAGGCAATGCTGCTCTTGGGAACTGGATCAGAGCTTTCTTGCCACTGTAGCAGGCACAAAGATTAGTGAATGAAATCAAATTAAACCAAGAGCTGGAACAAGGACAGAAGGAAGGACAGAAGAATGAAACAGCCAGGATAAGCGTTCAGTTTAGGGTGGAAAGCGGTGAGGCAGGCTCTGGTTTCCAGGAGGAAGGTAGGCACTTGGAGCGTACATAATGTTGGGAGGGTTTGGGCTCATAAATGATGAGCCTGGATAACAAAGTCAGAGAGGACTCTTGCTCATCTCTAGGGGTGCCAGGTTAGTCCAAATTGCACTTAAATTCCATTTTGTAAAGCAATTCTCTCCTTACAGCTTTATTCTGATGTTATTTGCACAAACTAGTTGTGTCTTTCTGGTTAGATGCTTCTTTCTCTCTCTGCATGTAATGTATTGTTAGGGGACTGTATTGACTCCAGCAGGATTTCACCTGACTATGAATTTGCTTCCAAGAGATTTATTAACAAAACATTTTACCCATAAGGGAAGTTTCAGGAGGCTTTTTCCAGAAGGCACAGATAAACTCGTGGCCCTGCAGGTATTCATTTGTCTGGGAAGAACACTATGTTGGCAATGCAGTGTTTTTAAGTTGAACTTGACAAGCTCCAACATGTTTATGTTACAGTTTGAGCTGTTAGTCTTTCTCTTTTTTTCTCTTCTTTTTTTTTTTTTTTTTTTTAATTTTAATCAAAAGCTGCGTTCTCGAAAATGCAAATAAATGAGACTAGTGGACTAAAGCCCATGGGAGTTGCTTAACATCTACAACCAGTTGTCCTGTTTAGTTGTATTTTCATGTCTCTGGTCTGCTGGAGCCCGCCTTCCTCACCCAAAGCCAGTTCTGCCCCAGCAGCCCGGCTCCTCCGTGCTGGGTCTGGGTCCCGTTGGCCGGAGAGGAGACAGCGGAGGAGCTGCTCTGCTGTCCTGTGGAGCACAGCAGCAGCTCCTGCAGCTTCTGGTCCCCAGCCTTGGCTGTAGGACCTGCTTAGGGATGGAGAAATGAAACCTGTCCGTGTGAGCTATGGTTATCCTGAGTGCAGATACCCCCCTGCTATTTTTACAGACATTTGGCCTAGCAAAAGAATGTGGTAACTTCTGTGGGATCTCCGGACAAGGAGGCTGGAATAAAGAAAGATGCCAGCTTTGGAGCCAGGGAGGCCGAGGCATTGTGCTGCTCTCCTTGGGTTATTCCTCGCCGCTGCTCTCGTTGTGGCTGTCCAGGGTAAGTGAACACCAGGAGGGAGCGAGTCCGTCGGGATAAACTAACATCCCTCAAAGCAAAACCTTATTTTGGGCTTCACAAGACTTGGATCCTTCTCTTTTTCTCATTGCCTTTGCATTTTGAGAACACTGTAAATCTGTCATCAGAATCCGCCTCCTTTGCCTTTTTTTTCCTTTCTGTGTTAAATGGCTGGAAAATTATTCCAGCTGAAAAAGGTGCAATGATTTATACGAATTGGGGGGGAGGAAATGGTTAATCTGGACTTTGTGACCAGCCTTTGAAACTGCTGGATGAGGTGTGAGGAGCAACAGGACCTGGCGGGGGGGGGTCCCCCCGGGCCCCTGCCAGCCTCAGCCATCCCCATCAGCCTGTGCTTCTCCTCCTTGTTTCTGGCTTTAGGGAGTTTTAAGGCCACCAAAGTGTCCTCGCCTGGACCTTCAGAGTAAATCAGGGCTGAAACCCCCTGCTTTTCCTCCCAGCATCTTTCTGATGGAGTTTCTGTCGGTAGGTGCCTGCAATGCTCCGCCACGTCTCCCATCTGCAGAACCCAAAGAGAGATACCGTGACACTGTCACGTTCGACTATGGTTCAGTGGTGGAATACAACTGTCGACCAGGTTACATAAGAAATGCTAAAGCCCCAAATGGCTTTACTTGTGAGAGGAACAATACATGGACTGGAACAACAGAGATCTGTATACGTGAGTATATTTTGGGTTGACTTTTGATTTTTGTTTTTTATTCACTGATGATATCAGCTCGCTTTGTTGGAGCAGTATCCAAAGTGACCTCATGGGATGGTGGGAAATGAGTGACCTGACATGAAGCACCAGCTGTATTCTGCTAAGTCCAGGCAACGATGGCAAAAGCTGAAATCTGCTTTGATGCTGGCTGTCTCTCTCTGCTTGCTGACTCCAAGGATGTTCTGCTCAGGCACTTTGTAACTCTTTGTTCAACAAAAGTATTTCAAACTTGCGGTAGGAGAATCCTTCAGCTGTGAAGAAATGCCGCCGTGCTTGCCAGGGTCACTGCGACCCCCCCTCCTCAGGCTGCCAAGGCTGGCTGCAGGTCATGATGCAAGTCTTAACAGCATCGTGGATCGTGGAATAATTTGGGGTTGGAGGGGAAATCTGGAGGTCTCTGCTCTTACCCCCTTGATTGGTGTTGGAGGAGTCTTCTGCTTTCCTGCTGTGTTTCCCCAACTCTTCATTAAACTGAAATAAGAACTAATTCCAGCCCCGTTGTCCCCCAGCAAAGCCATGTGCCTTCCCTGGAGAGCCGGCCAACGGCAGACTTGTCATAACAGAACAATTCAGTTTTGGTTCAGCCGT